AGGTGGCACCTCGAAGCCAGATCTACTGTTTGAAACACCATCCATCTCTGGCACTCTGGTGGTCCCATCATAGAGTGGAGCTGGTTCGGTTCTCTCAGTGACCACTGCTGGTCCAGCAATCGAAGTTCCTACTCTATTAGCATAGGAACCAATGGGCTTTTAACAATGCCAGAGCAACCCAAAGGTGGGAATACTGCAGGCCACAGAATGCCTACACCTTCACTCAGATGTCTTCCTCTGATTAGCCAAAGAACGAAAATTAACAGATGTCACAGCTTTGTCATCTTCTCTGTGCAAGGAACACCCATTCAAGTCCTTCATTCTAGAAGGAAACAAGACTAACCAGAAGAAACACGAAAGGCCAAGGGGAGAGCTTAGTTTCAATGGCATGCATGTATGCAAGGTGGAATGGCTTATTTCCACCATGAGCTCAGCAGAAAGCCTACCGGACACATCCTTAGAATTGAGCAGCACACAGAGCACTTAATATGCCATTTGCATTTGCACAGCTTAAAAATGTCTACACTGGATTTGCTGTATCGTCTGCAGTGAGCACTCACCAGCCACGGAGCCCTTGTTTATCTGTTTCTTAAAGGAAGCGGAACCATTTTCTTGACATTTTCAAAGCTCTGTTGGTGTTTGAGACAATAAACCAAGGCAGAGTAGCATGGCCCCCAGGAAGAGCTGGCTTTGCCTATAGGGACTTTGAAGTCCTGCCTTTGTGGCAAGTCTTCTTATCAGGCAGGACTGGCCAGCTGAAAGCGGATATGGATATGCCATGGAGGGCGCCTCTCCTCCCCAGGCCTGAGTTAGCGGGGATGCTGGAGGCCTGGGGGACTCTGCTTCCCTTTAGCACCTGCTATGAACCCCTCTGCACTCCTGTAAGGAGATCATTTGCCCGAAGGTTCAAGCTTACAAAATCTGTCACTTCCGAAGAAAGCCTCCCTTTTTCTTACCTTTTTTGAAGACTCCAAATCCCAAACTAACAACTCCAGAAACACTCCAGAGGCACTAGAGCTCTCCGGCTAAACAGTTGTGAATTGAAAAAAAAAAATCCCCTTGACAACGCAATAAAAAATATACATGATTTGCTAAGCAAAGCAGGGCTGCAGAAATATTAACTCCTTTGATGTGCCTGGCCCAGCTCTGTAGGATGTGGTGGATCTGGGTTTCTCTATGAACGGCACTTATTCACAGGAGGCCCTGCTTCAGGGGAGACTGTATGTGGAGTGGCCAAGCCATGACGGGATCTGAGTGGCAAAAGGGAAGGGCCCCAAATCCTTGGTGATATGAATTGTTTT